GTTGAATGGGCGAGCTGATCTTTTGATCCGTAACACTTTTTGCAATGGTTCCTGAAAAGTTGAAATGGTAACCTGTTATCCTACGTGGTATCGATCAGGTTCCTGCGTCTTGCGATTCTTTGAAAACTTTCAAAGGTCTAGGGTCCCGTTATTTCCTACAACTCAAAATCGCCAATGAACTTCTCAAGTGAACTTTGTTCAAAGATTTTCAGACTCGACCAATTTCATTTTGGATTGCGTCCACGAATATAGAATGAATGCGTCCCACTTTCATGGTCATTCGGGATCGTAGCAGCCCTTGGATGTGTATATGACTTCTACAATGACTTGCGGTCTCCAGTTATGTCCAAGTCAGAGCTAGTATCCCAGATGATACCGAAGAAATGGAGTTTTGTTTCCTGAGTAGGTATCGATTCGAGTAGTCATTGTAGGGTGTAGCCTAATGCTGGCTACAAAAATCGCTGACTCATCGAGCGGCTCCTTTTGGAAAACATTGTTTTCCATCTGATAACGGGACTATGCATGATCGCACGATAACTCATTGTACCAAATCTACGATAGAAGCCGTAAACAAATTTATACCAGTTTGTTTTGCCAATTTTTGATTTGCTAGAAACGTAGACATAGGTCACATGAGAAAAGAGATTTTGAAAACAACGAAGAAGCTCCATATAAGTTGTGGAAGTAAGAGGAGCGCTCAGTCAAGCAGCGGTTTGATCTGATCGAGCTCGAGAAGTTGACAAGAAAACGATCAGAACCTTCAGAGGATCCAGCTTCTCAACCAGTTCGATTTGTGTTATTGGAAAAAAAGGGTCTTGAAAAGGAGGACCACATTACAATGCAACCTGACAATCGACGGGTATTTCAAACTCCCGTAAACCATGAAAAACTATACTTCAAAAACAAAAACAAATTAATGACGAAAAGCTATACTAGAAAAAACAGCGTTTCCTATCATGGTCCGTTTCACCTCCTAGTCATACGAACAACAGCCTGTAATCACCCGATGCTCGTCAGTGTCTAACCATAAGCGCTAATTGTCGATCTGAGTAAATACGGGTCGTTGTTCCAATGATTTCAGATTATTACTTTTTCGAGTCCCAGTAATAACCTTGAAGAAGATCCCCCAGACTAACAGCGAACCCATATCAACATGATGAAACATTTCAGTGAAAAATCACCTTCAAAAAGTCCAGAGGCAAAAAAAAACTAGAAACCTTTTTTCGCTACGAAGGATAATAGAATATTAAAATTTAAGAACCAATTCCATTGCCATCACTT